CAGACAGTTACAGGTTTGAATTCTGGCTCTGCTATTTACTTCTTGTGTCATTTAGTGAGGGAAGACACATCCTCTTTATACATCAATGTCCTTCTCTGAACAATGGAGTAGAGCTAGTGCAAGGATGAAATGAGAAGGTTTATGTAGAGCACTGAGCACAGTGCCTGGGCTATAAGGCTTCTGCAAATGTTACTTGGTGCTATTATTATTGGACAGATTGTTAGTAAAAGCTACTTCTCACTCCAAAAGTGCTACTTCCAGTGTCCCTGTTCTACATTCATAAAGATGTACACCTTTTTTTGGCTTGTTTAGAAAAAGTGTTAAAATCAATATGGGACACTAAATTTATTAGAAAGATCAATTCAGACAGCCATACTGTGATCTAAAAGACTGATAATTCTAGTTCTCCAGGACTTTCTTATGAAAGGAATATAAGATTCCTTCTTCTCACAAACAATGTCCTGTTCAGAATTTTGTGGCCCTAAAAAGCCATTGCTCAGCCTTGTTTGGACTAAACCTTTACTTGAAGGCTGACCATGGCTTTGGCCCTTCCACACAATGTGGTTTGCCCAGAGCATCCCAATGAATATTGAACAGATGAACCAACCAGTGATGTGTGTCCCTGAGACAGACTGGGTTAGAATAAAGGTGATTTCAAAGTCTTTGGTATCTTCCCAGTGAAGGTATCTCCTTCAGTCTGGGCTGGCCTTTGTGACTGTGTGACTGACAGAATGCAGAAGTGACATTCTGACTTTCCCAGGCTAAATCACTGCAAGCCTTGTGGCTTCCCCTGAGCCTCTTGGAGGGTTTGTTCTTGGAACCCTCAGCTGCCATGTAAGAAGTCCAACCACGTGGGAAGGCCCGAGACAACCCAGAGAGTCAGAAGGGTGAAGCTGAGCCCAGCCTTCCAGCTGTGCCTACAAAGGGGCCAGACTTGTGAGTGAGGCCCTTTGGGACCTTCTAACCTGCCCATCTACTGCATAACACCAATGACCTTGTTTGGTACCTGATAAATCAGAGGAATCACCCTGCTGATCCAGGTCCAAATTTCTGACCCATGAAATCATGAGCAAAAAACAGTTTGATGGTGGTTTAAAGCCACAAAGTCTTGAGTGCCTTGTTACATATCAATAGAGAACCGAATGCAAACACTGCTAGGTCTTGTGACTCAGGCTCAGAGGCCGAACCAACCACCAATTAAAGCTTTTGGGGAGGACTCAACACTGGGGTTTGGAAGACAAAAGCACCTGATGGGCACAGATGAGATGAAGGGAGGAAGTGTCCTTCTACAGCCCATCTGTCCTAGATGATGTTTTCAAATGAAGTAGAAAACTTCCCTCTGAGAACATTCACTGGATACCCCACGGTACCAATGCGCGACTCAGCTGGGTGGATGCCAGGACCAGTGAACTGTCCTTTAGTGCCACAGGGAAGCTACTGCAGCGTGTATGCCGTCGACTTGGTGATGCACGCTCTATACTGTTAAAGGTGACAGTTTGGCGAAGGATGTGTGAATTCAGATGATTGGATGCAAACTAAAAGAGAGAGGACTATTTCTGCGAGCTGTGGGTTAATTTTTTTTGGCTATTCTTGGAATAGAAAATGATTGTGAATTTGGGGGATAAATACCAGAGCAATCTGTTTTCTTGGCTGAGTGTTGTGGAACAATTTTAAAGCATTGAAGTGCTTTCCATATTTTCTAATCACTCAAGTCCAGAACTGATTACAGCTCTCAGCACTCTCTCAGATCCACACCACCGGAGCGCTCCACGTCTTTCAGGCAGCGGGTTCACCTTGAAGGGCGGTGCCGGATCCAGAAGGCACTCACTGATACAGCAGCAGCAAACACTTCAACTGCAGCACAGCCCCGCAATGCCAGGTGTTTCAGAAATCCTTCTGGCCCAGCTCCGAGGCAACCGAGATTCACTCTCTCTTATCTCACAGAAACAAAACAACCTCCCTCACTAAACAGAAAAAACAAACAAAAAAAGGCACTACCAGAAACTGAACACCTGTAAACAAAAAAACAGAAATCTAGATTGTTGAACCCTGTTGGCAAGGTCTCTCTCTCTCTCTCTCTCTCTCTCTCTCTCTCTCTCTCACACACACACACACACACACACACACACACACACACACACAGAGTTGTATATGCATAGAACATTTCTGGAAGGAGCCCCAAGAAATTGGTAGCTGTGGTTTCTTTTGGGAAGAACTGAAGGACTAAAGAAAACTGAGAGGTTGATGGACGAAGAGGACTTATTTTTCTTACTAAAGCCTTTTGAATATTTTGACTTAAAAAAATTCATGTGCTGTATTATTTTTCAAAATAATGAAACAGAATAGTTCCAAACCTGTATATGGTACTTATGGTCTGCTAGACACTATATTAAATGCTATATGCATATTCACTCCTTTAATCTAACCTTGTGATGTACACTTAACTCTATATCATCCTGATTTTACGGATGAGGAAAACTGAGGTACAGAGAGGTTAAATAATTTGTTTAAGGTCACACAGCTAGTAGATGCAGAGCTGGGATCTGGACCCAGAGAGTCTAGCTCTGGAGTCTGCCCTCTTAATTACTGTGTGATACTGCCCCCCCCCCCAATATCCTCAGTTGCCTGCTCAGAAGAGAGTTGAAGCAGATAAAATAGCTCTTTACTTTTCTCATGTGGCCCTCTACAAAGATGGGGTGAAGCAGATGGTGGCTCGAGATAACCAAGATACTATCTTAAACTTGTGGGGGACTTTGAAATTGTGTGACTATCAGGTTAAAAGCATGAGTCTGCCAAGTTACTTAATCCTTCTCAGCCTTAGCAGCTATTATATGCCAGGTGCTATGTTAGACCTTGGGGACAAGTAGTGAATAAAATAGAGTTTCTGCTCTTGAGAACTTAAAAGACAGGTAGTAAACCAATAATCACACAACTGTAATGTGAACAATAAAGAAACATTAAAGGCTGCACTGAGAGATGAGGATGGGGGCCCTGATTTATACTGGACGGTCAGGAAATGTCATCTAGAGTGCTGTAGAATGGACAGGGGTAGAACAGGAAAAATAGAAGAGGTGGGGAAAGAAGAATATTCTGGGAGATGGCAACAGCCCAAGCAAAGGCCCTGAGGCAGGAAAGAAGTACCTGTTTCAGGACAGAAAGGTTTCTGTGGTGAAAGCCAAGTGTGTCAAATTGAGTTTGGAGAAACAGGCAGATCATGTAGACCATGGTGAGTATTTCACAATTTTCCAAAGAGCCATGGGAAGCCACTACAGGTTACAAGTAGGAGGGACATCATTGGGCGTGCTTTTTAAGATTACATGGGCTGCTGTGTGGCAAATATACAAAGAAGAAGGCAATGAAGAAAGTGGAAGACCAGCCAGGAAATTACTGCAAGAACCCAGGTGCGCAATGATGATGGCTTGGAATAAAGTGCTAGCACCGAGAGCAGCAGATATATTTGAGATGTGTTGCTGGTACGATGTTTTATAAAATTAGAATAATAACGTTAGCTGTGAAGTGTTATTATGAAGCAAAAATTCACAGCTGTGAAAATGCCTTGTCAACTATGAAGTGCTAAACAGAGGTAACGGACTATTACTATAGAAACCAGGTACATATCAGAGAGACTTGAACTTGCCCAAAGTCACACAATGGCACAGTGGCTGACAGGAAGCTGACCTGCGGTCCTTCACTCCCTTCTCGGGGGATGTGCCCGGGAGAAGGAAAAGAAGGCTAGTGACCAGGTCTAATTTCCTTGTCAAGGGGGCCTCTGGGTAAGCAGAGTAATAATATTTAGGATGTGTCAGGCGAGTATATAGGATTCAGGGTCTATGAAGCAGGGCTCCTTGGAGAACATCACGTCAGCTATACAACTCTCGGGTACAAGAGGAAAAATTTTCATCATTGAAAATCTCCACAAAGAGTGGTGACCCCTTGATCCTCCCCTATTATTCTAGGGGAGTGATGTGTGTCGATGAGGGGAGTTAGGACCTGGGGAGCCACTCTTGAGGTTCCAGAGTTTTCTTTACTTCATTTGAATCTCCCGATTGCATGCACCCTGGACATTATTTAGCAAAGCTTTATATTGGGTAAGAGCTCTGAGTTATGTGACATTATCTGACAGTCTCCTCCCACCTGTTATTCAGGGGCAGAGACCTTTCCCCCAGGCTATTACTCCCTGTGTAATATTAGGCCCAATTACAAGGTCCACGGCTGAAGGGAGAACAGACTTGGTTATATGGGAACCCCTTGCTAGTGGCCTAACTCTGGTATTTATTTGGTATTTCAGATATCTACCTACCTGAAACACTAATTTTTAGGATAGTTAACAATTTAAGAAACTTGTTGTATCTGACTTCATTGTGAATGAGTAAAACTGAAAAAACTCAATGCTGGAGTCTTTAGGATGGTTCATATTGATTTCCTGATGAGGTGAAACAGGTTTTTGGGGGCTTCAGAGACTAATCCTAGGCACGACTTAGAGAGAGTTTTTTAGATGCTTAGAAGCTCACCTCCTACCCTCCAAATCCCAAAGAATCACTACAATTTCAATGTTCAGCAGTGAACATCATTCCTAAAACTACTCTTGGCCCTCCTATGTCATGAATTCTCTTCTCACTCTTTTTTTTTTTTTTTAAGATGCACAATTTATCTTAGCATGCAACTTCGTTTTGGAACTTAGGAAGGATGATGAAAGAGAACTGTCACTCTAGCAGGAAGGGAGAGAAACCTCTTTGTCTTCTCTGTCTCATAACAAACTGAATTTATGCTGGAGAATCAAAAGACAGAATCAAAAGGCACATGGATATCAGATTCCACAAAAATCTCCAATAATGAATTGAGCTGTTGCAGATAGAGGACACCAAGAGGCCAGGCTTCCTCTGGAAGATGCTGAACATGAGGCCGCTGGCAGGTGTGAGGGAAGTGTCAACATGTTTTACAATTAGAAATTCATCCTCTTTCCCCCCAAACAAGCTCCCAAACTAAAGCCTGATGTTTACCTTCAGCGAGTGGGTCAAGGGTGTGTATCATGAGCTGGAAGATGCTATTCCTCATGAGACTGTTGTGGAGGGAGGCAGAGCTTCCACCTCGTTGGAGACGTGGCTTAGCCTGAGCAGAGAAACCAGACAAAGATGTTAGTTCTCAGACACCAAAGGCAAGTGTGGTACAGACGAGATTCTCACCTTGCCTGGTGGTCACTTGTGTCTGTCACGTGATCACACACTACTGACCAAAGATTTTCAAGGTACATCTCAAATTCTCTAAAGGACTGGCTTTCTCACATCCTTTCCTACTAAATAAACTAATTGCTACCATTTTTTAGAGCTTCATAAATGCTAGTTGATGTGCTATATGCTTCATTCTCAAAATGAACTCCATGAACCAGATACTGTTATTGTTCCCTTTAGACAGATGAGGAAACTTAGTCTCAGAGAAGTGAATGAAGTGTCTAATTCATAGAGACAAAAAATGGAAGACAGAAGAATGAATCTCAGGTTTGCTTCTCTCAAAATCTGTTATCTGAACCAGTGGGTGGTCTCTACATCATTTGGATTGTGTACCCTTTTGGGAAAATGTTTGAGTATATATGTATATATTATCCATCTATCTCTATCTCCTTATCTCTATCTCTATCTCTATCTCTATCTCTCTTTCTCTCTCTCTCTGTATCTGTATCTATATATCTATAAATTACTAAAATATGAGCATATATATTATGAAGCATTTGAAAAAGTGGAAATTATGAAGAATAATAATGAAAGTAAATGGTAGAGGTGTTAGTATTTTCTCCTTGCTCCCCAAAAGACCACCTCATACATCTCATGGGGTTTCTCTTCTCTACTCTGGACCACAGATCTACTCCATGAAGCCTATAGTCTGTGTTAAGTGAAATTTAAAGAGAGAGAGAACCACTTATTATGAATCTACAGAGAAACTTCCTAACTTCAAAGGGGGGATTTCTTTTACATAAACTCCTACTGGTGTAATGCTTTGGCCAAATAAAAGAAACTGACAGGCAAGAGAGGAAGAATGAAGCTCTAGAGGTGAGATTACTGACAAACTCTTATTTATTTATTTATTTATTTATTTATTTATTTATTTATTTTTTATCCTCACCCGAGGACATTTTCCCATTTTTTTTTTTGTTCAGATAGAGTGGGAGGGAGAGAGAGGAAGAGAGAGAGAGAGAGAAACATCGATGTGAAGGGACACACTGAGTGGCTGCCACCCGCACGACCTAACCAGGGCCAGGAACAAACTGCAACCGAGGTACGTGCCCTTAGCGGGAACCAAACTCGGGTCTCTCGGGACCGCAGGCCGATGCTCTAACTGCTGAGCCAAACCGGCCAGGGCCCGACAAATTCTTTTAAAAAATATCTTCAAAAATAATTAAGAAAAAAAAAATCATCTGGATAGATTTTTACCCTGAGTAAGAACTGTGACTGATTTTGTGTTGGTTATCACAGGGGAAGACGCTCCAGAGGCCAAGCTTCACAGACAGGAAGATTTAAGAGAGGCAAACGTAATGTACAGGAATGAATTTCTTATTGAACTTTTGATCCAAAATCTTGACATGAGATTTTTCTGGGGTCAGGTAAAAATAAAATACTATTTCCCATTGCCTTCCAACCCTCTACAATGCAAGGTTTTCCAAAATATTCACTCATACTCCAGATCCACAGGGTGCTTCCCAAGAAAAGTCCCAGGAGAGACGCCATGCTCAAACACTTTGGATGAGTGCTACACCCCAGACTAAAGCACCGCTAGAGTTTTAATATACACATTAGACCACTAAGTTTTAAAAAAATCTGGTTAACTTGGTGAACTTGGACAGTGTTTCTGAACTATTGCCCATGGAGCCTTACTTTGAAGAATACGTAATAACAGTCATAGTCTGCATGTTTGGAGACAAACATTAAACCCACAGTTTCAAGTATGGGTAAAGTGTCAGTATGAAGTACATGGAAAGGTCTAAATTTCTTAGTGTGGTTTTATTAGAATTGATATTTTAATAGAAATTATGTTCCTGACTCTACAGGGTCTGGAGAAGAATCAGAGGGACTACTGGTGTCTCAGTGGTGAGCCGGATCATGAGCTCCTCAAGAAAAGAGACAGGGACGGTACCCCTAGCCCAGTACTGGAACCAGTATATCCTATGGGCTCTCAGTGAAAGTCATACATTTTTGCTTTGAGCACGAGTGGAGGAAGGATAGGGCTGTATGTATTTCATTCCTAGTCCCTTCTGCCTTGGAAATCTGTAACATTTTTTAATGCATTGTGTTATTTGATTCAGATGGTTAAGGTTCAAAATATTTTAGGGGCAAGGTTAAGAGATTTGAATAGATTTGGAATGTAATCACTGTGTGATGGCTGAACACAAAAAACTCTGAAGGTCATTTCCTTGTCATGCTCCACACTATAAAATGTGATGTGTTAATTGGACAGGAACTGAGACATGTGCTTGTTGTTAATAATTGGTCACGACCATTATTACTATGGTTCTTATTTGGAGAAACTGGAAGAACTCTGCTATGAAGATCTTCATTAGAAAAGGATTATATCTACAAAAGAACTTAAAGCATTTTTTTGGGGCATTATCTATATACTGAATATACAAGTCTCATGCAGTATTTCTTTTTATGAAACCAAAAGAAATTTCCAATAAAAAATTCATTGCATGCAGATACACAAAGAAAACAGATATCAAGCTTTAGGACCTCCCACCCCCCACCCATCGCCCTCCACCATTGTCACCAAATATCAGTTCACCATCCCTTGGAATGTATTTGGGACTATCTCACTCTTTCAACTCCTATAAAAGTTCGTGCCAAATGAAAGAGAGAACTCACACTTTTTGAAACCCAGTCCCAGAGATAATTTGTCAGCAGATGTCAGAATACAGTTGACACTAATTGCAGGCCAGAGCACACCCACACAGCAGCAGATTAAACCACTTAGTATGCCAAAGGACAGGGTGATTTGTTGAGCACATGAGCCCCTCCTCCCCCACCCCCCACTCTCCACAGGCACATAGACAAGTATAGACAAGGCCACTGCTTCCTACCGGTAGAGTTGGTTCATCCTTGTCCCTGGCTGTAGATGACTGCGTAAGAGAAAAAGGCAAAAACAAAGACAAATAAATCAATAAATGATGAGTCACATATAGATTTTACATTTAATAACAATCATCAGTATAGGGAAATATATATATATATATATATATTTTTTTTTTTTTTCTGCTCCTAAGAAGGATTATGGATTATGCTAATACAGGGCACCAAGAATGTATATCTCTAGCCAATATATAATGGTTTGTTTAGGCACAGGGTACATTCTCTTGAAAGATCAAAGGTGAATGGGCAACCTACATGCCAAGCAATAGAAGGCAGTTAAATCAATCAGAGCCTAGGCACACAGTGGAATACCCTGTGGTCATTAAAATAAATGGAGTACACATGAATTGACATGGAAAACTAAGATATATTAAGTAAAAAAAAAAAAAAAATTAAACCTTACTTATTATCTCATTTTATTTTTTAAAAAAATCAATAATACTTTAGTATATGTAAAGATAAAAAACTCTGCAAGAATTATCCCCAAGTGCTATTAGTGGTTATTGCTGGGAATGGGGTTACAAGGACATGTCATTTTCCATATCTTTTGGAGGGAAACAACATTCATGGCCACACGTGTGGTTAAGCAAATAAATAAAGCCTGAAGAAGTCATAAGGTTGCTGAATCAGATGAGGCTCATCATAAATGGAATTCAGGTAATCCACCATCTTTCCTACCCCCAGACACTTCACTTTTTTCATGCTAAAAATAGAAATATCTGTCAAGTTGCAAAAAGTTGACTAAAATACAGGGGCATGTGAGGGCCTGGCCATCTGCTGGGAGAGAACACAACTCAGATCAGGTGACAATGGAGTTCTACCAACATAACCCAACTTAATATGAACAGTCCTTCTTCAAAAGAACTGGGGTGCTTTCCTGTGATCTTTCCAATGATGTAGAGGTAGGTGTCTTGTGAGTTTCCTTATGCACAGACTACTACCTCGGTTGCTTTATCTCAACTGTGAATGCACAGAGCAAGAAAACACTGGACCTTTTCCCCCGTCTTGCCTTCTGGTCCTCCCCGTTACAGTCTTTGCTGATCTGCATCTTCAAGAATAAGCACACTCTTGGAGATGAGCAGAGCTGATGAGACGGGTGCAGAGCCGTTCTAAAACCCTCATTGGCCCCATGCTCTCGAGTTTAGTCCTACCACACACGTCATATAAGGGACATTAAGTGGCCCCAACATCCCACCTAAAATACACATTTTTGGCTAAAAGAATGAAAAGGATTCTTATAGCTTTGCATTTCAAATTATTGGCTACCCGCAATTCATTTAATTTATGATTGGCATGCTCAAAACTTTGAAAAGTGAAAAAAATGAATTTACAATTTTTTTCAAGTCATTTTTAAGAAGACTAACTTTAATACTTAATTAAGTTGATAATAAACATTTTGTAGACAGTCAATTAAACATTTAGTTAACTTGAAGATAACTTTTTGGAGTTTAGAGTCAATATTAACGTATATATATGTTTTCTAGTTTCAAACATTTTTTGTCGACTCTTGAGGAATTAGTAACTCTCAGGCACTGACAGAAGTATTCTGAATTGGTGGTGATTTCTGGACACAGCCCATAAACATTACTAAATTTGGCACAACCGCCTGATTTGGGGCTTTCTCTTAGGGACTTTTCTAAAAATACTAATGGAAAAAAAAATCCCAATTTTCTACTCCCAAGCTGATGCTTGGGGAACCGGAGTGGACCTGAAATTGCTCTTTGATGCCCCTTTTGGCTCTCAAAGGCACTGTATGATCCTGTTTCTGTCTGGCAGGTCCTTTCATTTTCTCTTCTTCCACATCAGACAGCTCAACAAATGGCCCCACATTAAACAGAACAATCCCCCAGGGAAATTTCCCAGTGTGGCCAGCTCAGCCTTTGGACATATGTGGAGATTAACTGGCAGAGCACACTTTTTCAGTGAGCAAATGTACACCTGTGGCTAAGTGGGAGGCAAGTAGTTATGAACTGGGACTGATACACAGGGACACCAGAGAGCATGAAGAAAGAGGATGAAAAGGGTGGTTTTTCTAAGAGCAATACATCACCAGCTGAGAGTTTGGTTTAAAAACTACACTTAAAGAAAACATGTGAAGAAATAAAAAAATCCAAGCCTGTCTTTTGGTTTGAAAGGAAGAGAAAATATCTATCCACTGACTTCCTTTTTCTCTCCCAAACAAGGAGGATCAAGAGACACAATAAAATGAAAAGAAATGCCTTGTACACAGATGCTACAAAGAAAGTGAGTGCAGAGGAAAGTCTGAAATCTTTTACAAAATCTCCCGCTGTTTAATGTCAACAGAACATTAATGTTAGTTTTTGTTTAAGTGTAATTTGCAGATGTGAATACACGTCAGGTTACAACACATACATTTCGGTACATGCACAAATGGCAGCTGAGGCCATTAAACACCCCTCCACTTGCCTTTCATGTCGCCCTGTTGCAAAAGACAGGAGAAATGTGACATGTGATAGTAATTGTTCATTTTCAGGGGCTTACCCACATCTACTGGTAATTCCTGAGGCTCACCTGACCTAGCCTCACTTTAATTACATGTTGACGCAGCCTCGCTCTTGGCAATGGACTGCTGATTATGTTAGGCATTCAATTTCAAGGGGGTCTAATAACATTGAAGTAGAAACTAGTGTACATGACAAAGAAACAACCCAACTGTGGAGAGCCCGTAGGGCTTCTAACAACTAGATTATTTTGCTAACCATTTGGATTTTGGGCTGGCCTTGGTGTTGTGAATTCATTTTCAGGGTCACTAAATATCTGACAAGTTTATTCTAACCCATTGGATTTAACAGAAGACAGCTTCTTAAGAAAACAAAACAAAAACACCCAATGTGACTTTAAGGATTGATCTTGGCATTCTTAGCATGCATTTTGATTTCTAATCTCCTTAATTTTAAACACACCGAAATATCATACATTTGGGCTGTGCTAATCTGAAAGCCCAATTCCTGGCGGTCAGTTCAAAGGCTGTGCAGCTATAGGAAAGATCTGTTAAGCCAAATCTATAGTATACACAGCAATTCTTGAAGAATATTTAAAGAAATTCATAAAATGCATCATGAGCCCTGGCTAGTTTGGCTCAGTGGTTAGAGCATTGGCCCACGGACCAGAGAGTCCCGGGTTTGGTTCCCGCTAAGGGCACATACCTCAGTTGTGGTTTGTCCCCAGCCCCAGTTGGGGCCGTGTGGATGGCAACTAGATGATGTGTCTCTCTCACATTGATGTTTCTCTCTCTCTCTTCCTCCCTCTCTCCCTCCCACTCTGTCTGAAGATAAATGCAAAAATGTCCTTGAGTGAGGATAAAAAAATAAAATGCACCCTGAAGGGGCTCAAGTTGGGACTCTGGTGTCCCAACACAGACCTCCTCTTCATTCATGAAAGCAGGACACCCACCAGACCAGGATGTTAGAAATACATCTTTTGCATAAAAAGCATTGTGTAATTCAATCCTTTATGTAATTTAAACTGGCCCCCTCCCTAATTACTGCAAGTAATTGAGTAATTGAGCAACTGGGATGTTGCCATTAATATCTGTTGTTCTCCCTGGTGAAAACCCAAATTCCATATGGGATTTTTTCTACCTATTTGCTATGTTTTGAGAGTGCCTCATCTCTCATGTAATAAAACATACAGCCCATTTAGAAAGCATTTTTAACACCATAAATCATTCACAAATTCTTAAATCATCTTACTTCCTTTGACCCTTGAAAGCCACTGATTGAGAAATAATTTCCTTGGCTACTAAGTACAGTTGTGATGTGAATTTTCACAGACTCTTACCCCACATACAGGCCTCCACTCTCACCTCTCACACACAAACACAAAGCAAGCACTGCACCACTGGGCCGCATCAGAGCCACACGGCCCCCGCTTTACCTTGGCTGGTGATTGGCCACCTGCAAATCACATAATCAAACAGGTCACTGGGAGGATTTTATATGCCAATAAACAGCGAGTAAAATAAGAGGTGGCTTTTCTGGCCAGTGGTTTGGCAACAGATGGAGAAAGAAGCAATTTGGCTCAATAGTCAAATAACAACCATAAATGTCCACCATCATAACTGCTTACTAAGTCCTGTGAGATGTGCCTAAATTCATGGGGCCAAGGACCCAGAAGCGCTATAAGGTCTACAAAAAACAAATTTAAAAGTATAAATATTTTGTCATAACTGTGATCCAAAACATATGCCAGTGATTAGAAATATCAATCCAATATATAATTGACATTAATTTTAATGTCTTAGAATTTAGAAAGAGTAGGTGAGGGACAATTAGAATGACTGATTTCTATTTCAAGTATTAACAAGGAAGTATAAAATGATGTCTCCTTTTATTTTTAATACATTTACTTGTAATAAGCAAAAACATTCAACATCACTCTCCTGGTTAAAGATGAATAAATCTTAAAGCCTATAGGAAGACAAAATAAAAAGTGCAAGAGCCTGAAATCTGGAGTCTAATAGGAAAGAAATCCTAGAACCTCTTAATCAGATACAAAACCATCTCCCTCTCCCTCCCTTTACTGTGTCCTAACATAAAGGGGGTGGATTAAATAAATTCAAGAAAAACAACAACCTGAGATTTAAATTCAAATAACTTTTACCACTGGTTGCTGGGTAATTATCACAGTTTCACTGTCCTTTAGGGAAGTAAGGATCTCACAGGTTGATGAAGTGCTGATGGTGGCAGCCCGATGTAAAGAATGCCCCCTTCACAACTGGCTTACAGAGACACACTAGGATGCTACCATTGATTTCCTAGGCACTGAATTGTTGTTTTTTGTGGCAATTGTAAATAAGATTATTAGTTTTCCTTTCTGATGTTTCATTATTGGTGTATAAAAACGCAACTGATTTCTGAATATTTATTTTGTATCCTGCTACTTGACTGAATTCATTTATCAATTCTAGTTAGACTTTTTTTGGTGGTATCTTTAGGGTTCTCTCTATATAGCATCATGTCATCTGCCA